GCAAAGTTGTAATCAAACAAGCGCAAAGGTTAGGCTCAGCGCTAACGACTGAAGACGTCATCCGCATATTTCGTTTTGTGAAACGAGACGCCTTTCAACATTTTTTGTTTTAAACTACATTGATTTTGTTGGTTTTGTTTCTCCCTCTTCACAATCCCTCTTTGATCTGTTTATATAGATCGTGGCGTTTTCACATATCAAAGCTTACAACTTGGTCGTAATTCAGAAATGAATCAGTTTTCATCTTGCGCGTTAAAAGGTTACTTAAAACGAACGAAAACTAGTGAAAGGGGTATTAATAAGAGAGCACATATATTTCGGGCGTCACTGACACATATTTCCTTCCAAAAAGACCAAAACACTTAAGGAAGTTACCTCTAAATTTTAACTTTTGAGATCGTTTGAAAATTACATACTGTGAAAATGGTGTTATAGAAAGTCGCACCTGTGAAGGCCCCTCAACCAATCAATAAACAGGTGCCCCATTAATTCCGCATGTTTATTGGAATTGTGGCACTTTAGTCACTGAAACATTTTGCATAATTTATAGGACATCGTGTAAAGCCGGCTGAGAGTCTGCTAATTAGTGGTTGTGTTTTTGATTCAACTGATAAAAAATATCCAAAAGAAAATATATATAAAAAATGTATTGAGTACTGAAATAAATACATCTTGGTGTGTGATTTGTGAGCACTCACAAAAAATGTTGTTTTTCACTATAAATTTTTGAAAACGGAAAGATTTGTTTGATAACAAGTGTAAAGATCACCTTGCTGCCTGAAGAAGATATTCTGCCATGAACACACTATCCCTGCCATCAGAACGACGTTTGATGATGTTATGGCTATATCATAATTGACATTAAAATCTAAAACTCGCATATAGTCTTTCACAGCATCACGCGCACAATTGTTTACAATTCACCTGTCAGCTGTGATATTAACTCCTGATTTGAAGTACACATAATTTGTGTCGATTATCATGAAATATAAGTCACGTGCTAAATAGTATTCATTAGTAGACCTCAAACCCTTTATCGGCAGTTTGTCACAGTGTATTATCATTTGCTTCAATAATTCACTATTAATGTAGAAAGAAATTGATACTGAAAAATGTAATGGACTCTGCATCTCCATATGAGATCACTTCTTGTCGAAATTGCCAATCAAAATAATGTCAGTAACGTGTCTATAAATTAACAAGGTTGTCATTTTCTACGCAATTTTCTTAAAATTTTGCAAAGATTTCTGGAATTTAAATTTAAGCTTTCCGATAGGATCACAGTCGTGAGAAAAGGTAGCTTTAAAAGCCGCGTTACTGAAATAGACAACTGAAATAGACAACCCACTGCGCGAAAATGACACCACTATGCCTTGCAAATGTAAACACTGAGGTCACATTTTAAGCAGTTTGTGTTTCATCCTTGATTAGTAGAACATCAGTCGTTGTGTATTCTTTTCTTGTTCTGTTTGTGATTTTTCGTTGTTTTCGTGAAATGTAATCCGACTCCAGTTTTTTACGATTACGTTCTTTAACTTTTTCAAATTAACTGCAAGTAACATTTTTTCCTGTTTGATTCTATATCTTGAATAATCGTGCCCTGTATCATGCATTTTTTTATATGAATACAGAGTACATTCCGATCAACGTATATTCTAGAAGTACATCTTTTTGTATATCGTCCATTCCAAGATGCATATCCTTGAGATGTGACTTTATTTTGAACTAAACAAAAGGCTGTTGCATTGTGGAGTCTTCGCGAAAGTATGAAAATATCTTAATATGTATATGGACCTGATGAGATAAACAATAGTTCGTTTATTATTTTCGACGAAAACATGTATATTTCGGGCGGGAATATTAGAGAAAAGGATATATCGTTCAAATTTACTGTCTAGAGTTTTGGTAGAATGTGGTTAAATGAAAATTCATAGCAAGCAATAACCATTCTAGCATCCATTCTTATACCATGATTATTTAAAACAATCTATTATCCCTATGCGGATTTATACATAAATAATATATAAAAAAGTTGACCTGTTTACCAACATAATAATATATTTTTTGTTATGTCAGTTGCAATATTGCAAGCACAGAAGAGAATCTTAAATTGTTTGCAATATCGCTCAGTGAATCTACTTCCATGTATTATCGTCGCAAATGTATGTGAAATACACATCCCTTCTTTTGAAATATACACGTGTGCATTTTTCATGTCGGCGTTGTTTTATGGCCGATTATCGCAAAAAGCAGAAACACACGTACCCAAATATCACATTATATTCTGTTTGTTGACCATTCAACGTTGACATAAATATTTGAAAGCCTGAGAAACTGTAGCCCGTAAACGCGCCCCCCTATCACGCTGTCTTCCTTGACAGGCTCAATGTCATTGAAGGTTGTCAATTTCTGAATGACGACTGTACCGTGCGAATAAATACATTGACAAAAGATGCGATCTCGCGGCTGGGAAAGGATCTAGGCGGTTTGTGTTAGGGACCCATCAGAGTCGGCTTAATGCCCATCTGACGTCCTTTGACTACATCGGGAAACCCTATATCAGACTGAAATATACTTTTTTTGTGCCAGTGGGTTTGATAGGCATTTAATGTTTGACGTTCATTTCAAGTTTGAGTCCTCGTAAATGTAGGGTTGTGACCACTGTTGTTTTCCAGAAATGCCTAAGTATGTTTACATAAGATATTGGGTTTATTGTTTACATTTCTTGAATTTATTACTTTGTTTTCGTCTGTGTTTTAATTATTACTGAGTGCAACTTCTGATATACCTATTGAGAGAAAAGGTTAAATTAAGACCGAAAATCTTTACGAATTTTAATACCTTGGTCATCGGTAAATAACTTTTATTGCAGATATAATCAAATGATATTTGATAACATAAATTAATTTAGAAACATTTATAATCAGCCTTATTTAAAAACGTATTAAGCAATCGGCATCATATATAAAATTAATGTTTATATTCTGTTTTAATTTAGATATAATGAAAATTGCTTCTCTAAGATCCCAGAAACTTTAAAACATATATATCAACTATTATTCAATTATACTTCAACTGTAACTCAAACTGTAATTTTCACATCACCCCTCACAAATGAAATAGGCATCTCTATGTTGGAACTGTGCTGGCGATTTAGTCTGGTGTTACCTATCTTTCAGCGACCATGCTTACTGCAAAGAGTACAACATTAAACTACGATTCGTCGGATCGTATGTCATAATTTGAAAAGTGCCTATTTCAGCGATGTTCATGTAAATTTCATGAAAGATGATATCGATATCACCAATAGACCGCCTCGTGTTTATTGAGCTCAGTTAATATCCTAACGACAAGCAAGAGCCCAGTGGAACATATCTCTATCATCTGAGGTTAATTTCAATAGTTATTGCTTTTATAACAGAAATATCATTACCTGAATTTTGATATAATAAAATGTTGAGTTTTATTTTATGGCTTTCGGGAGCATCGTAAATCGGTATAACATATTACAGATCGCGAATAATTCATTGGATGTGGGTTTTCAGCGTCTGAATATTGAAAATGATAATTCACAATTACGGCACGGCTGATTTGAAAGGTTAATTGTCACTTAATATATTAATTGGCTATCTTGTATCATTCTGTAAAATAGTAAATAATAATAGTGACACAAGAATTTCGATTTTAACGCAGCTGATCAGAAACAAAATCTCAGCCAGATTATTACATATCTTTATGAATCAGGATTATTCTCAGTGAGTAAATATCGGGTTCTACGTGGCACTACTTCTGCACCAAAAGAATCATTTTCTGTGAAGAACAGTCGCATGATAATATCAAGTTATACCTTCACACCACGTTGCTGTTTTCATCAAAGAACATTAATTAATAATCAAGTGTTATGATTTCAGGCGCGAAACGCTTTTTAAAATGAGACAAATATACTGCTAGAGTTAGTCCATTGGTGATATTATTTAATAAATTCTTAGCAAAAGATAACTACGACACAAGTTAAAAATCTGACGTTATTCTAATCGAGCATTCCTGTCTTGGCGCAAGCTTTTTCAATGAACACCAGTAGCACGTGCCACCTATTTCAATGACTGTCACGTATGTTTCTGTAGGCATCGAAAACAGCTGTTGTGTACGTTGCAGGCCCTATCATAAGGCTATTAATATTACAAAAGCATAGCCCTAATATCTGGTGTTTGGCTCATGAACTCAAATAGATGGACCGATAAAGTCACAATTCGCCATCAGTAAAGACATTAATTCACATTTCTCTCGCAAAGCTTGAATCCCGATGTCGTGTTGATGTCTCGGTTACAAAAATCACGCCGTTTTTATAAATTAATAATAATTTTATCCACATTCGCCTGTAATTTCTCGGTGGTAATTTCAAAATCAGGGAATTTTATCTATAGATATTACATTTCAACAATTATTTATCTATAGACATTATATTTCAACAAGTATGTGTTCATCGTTTAGTTTCTCTTATAACACAAGGGGACATCGACACAAAAGTTGAAACCCAACATATATAATGTTACTGTTTACTACAGAATTTTATATCATAGGTATTTCTGTGAGTTAGAAATTCATTAGTGGTATTCATATTTGTATCTCACAAGAATATAAATATGAATATGAATAGATTTACACTTGGTAAGTATTATATGCAAACATGAACATTCGACGCTGATGTTCGTGTGGAAAATTAATATGAAACATTGCAAACACTGACTGGCGTGAGGAAAACAAATGACGGTGTTTAAGTAATGCCAACGCTTATAAAGGCTTGTTTGACTTGTTATATGAAATAATTTACATATTATTTCAATTTTAACGAAAGAGTGGCCCATTTTGCATAATTATATAAAATGTACTATTTCTTTCTTTTATCAAATACAGATTTGTCATGGCAAGTATTTCATAGAAACATAAAGACGACAGACGATCAGGCAAATTCTGAAAGAAATATAGCTCTTGACACTCACCTGCCAGATTTGGTAATAACCATTTCGGTTCCCAGTTTGTGGAAAGTTTCCCATAATTCCTTCCCCTCCAATTCAACCTTGGGATCGTCTTGAACTTCGGGTTCCTGGGGTTCCAAACCCCTGAGGGGACGAAACGGTTGGGGATGGGGGAGAAAGTCACCAGGGATGAAGGGTGATCTACCCATCGATTGCTGCAGTTTGGGAACCATGGATGCAGATATCCCGTGGTGGTGAAGTGCGGAAAATCCCGGCAGCAGGGGATGCTGGCCTAGTAGGGACCCCACGGAATAATCCATGGAACGATGGAGGAAAAACGGGTTGAATGCCATATTTGAAACCTGTCTTTTAACACCGAATTAAACCTCATTCAAAGGTAGCAGTGTCTTAACCTGCGTCAACATGGAGACGCGTGTGTTTCGAGATACCCCAAATCCGAGGGTCGTTTTCAGTCCAATCTCGCGAATATTAGATTGTGCTCTTCATATGTCGTAAACTTCCGACGATGTACTGTGTAACGGCAGTAAGGATTGTCGTAGCCTCTTCGTCGTTGATGAGGTTTCACTGGTATCGCGTCTTCACGCCGCTATACCTTATCGCATAAGCTCGTGATTGGCGGAACAGCGCTGCCGACTGAAATACGTCGAGATGAGCTGGGCGTGTTTAACAAGCTTGTGCGATAAGGGCCCTTCAGCCGTGTATCAGTTCTTCTCGCATAATGCGCCTAAAGGCATGAGTGTGTTCCCCATGTCAAGCTAGTCCACAGCCCCTCCCCCTCCAACTGACTCTATCAATAACAACCGCTGAAGATAAACTCCAGAAATTATTTTCAAGTACTCCGCGCCCCAGCATCTATTGAAAGAATTAAGAATCAACATGGACGAGCGATGGTTAAAAGACTGATTCGGGACACGCACTCAATTCAGTATACAAACAGCTCGCTTCTCCCCGCCCATCAAATTTAGCGGCATTATCAACCAGAGACTCGCCATCCATAGGGAGCCGTGGAGCTTGATCAGGTCAAATCTATTGTGAAGTAGTCACGTGACTACCCCACCGTATCCCATATTCGATTACAAAGGCGTGTTGTGCGCTACCTTAAAACGGGGGCTGTGACAATGAAATGAGAGTAGTTCGTCTACTGGATCTCAGGCTTTATAAATTAATCATCACGTTCTTCCGAGGAATGGCGATTTTAGCTTTTTTACTCCAAGGTGAGAAAGTTCGCTCTCGGAGATTTCTTACCCTAGACTTAAGTGATATTAAATCAATAATAAATAACAACGCATACACGCAATGGTCGCTGATTCATTGCCCACTCCTTCTCCGAGCCATCTGGCTGGAAGCTTGGATGAATAGTTAATTATAAAATTGTACAAGTACTATTGATGTCGCTTGTGTCTTAATTCTGATAACAATTATACAAATGGTGATGATTTTATCCTTTAGAAATCCCCCGAACTTATTTCCAGGACAAGATGAATCAGGATTAATGATTTCCTTTATTGTGCTTGATTTTTAGAACTCATTTTTGGGTTTACCTTAAAAGTTCGTTTCCCTTATTCTCTTGGGGTTGTATTACAGTGCGAATTTTAAAACGCAAATAAATGCATGACAAATGCATTAACAATTAACGTACTTTAGGTTGTTGTTATTCATACCAGGTAAATGCCTTTAAACTGTCAATGTTTTGTATAATCAATAACTTGAAAATGGTAACAATTTGGACAAATTTGTTTGAGCAATTACACATTAGCAGCTTGCAAAGCATAAGCAGAACCTAACGTCCTTCACAAATGCAAAATATATAGCTATTGTTCAGTTCTTATACTGCAATGTTTATTTACTTGAAACTATAACGTGTATATTACGAAAGTACAACATCACAGAGACTAATTGAAAACGAATTTGAAACACTTGACAATAATTGAGTGAGTGACTGCCGCTTCACGTGGAATCAGTTTTCAATGTATGCTTGTCGGGGGAAACATGCCCCACATCAAACAAACCAATGTTTCTCTTTTCAATGTTATCGTGGGGTTTGTTTCAGCACTGCAAGCGTGTTGTTATTTATTTTAATTAAGGTTCTTTTATTAAATGTTTTTTAATTTAAATCACCGATGAGGGTTGGTTTATTTATGTTAGTTAAATAATATTAACTGAGTAAACACTATTTTAATTTTTAATTATTAAACAATACGTGTTAACTTTTATCCATCTTACATTTTCATTACCAACACTGTCTGTGATTGACAAATAAATAGAATTTATTTTAGGGAATGCATTTTCTGTGGCGTTCTGTGAAAATAGTTAGAATTGCTACCACGTCCACATTCCGAGCGAATATTCCAATGTTCAACGTGTATATCGCGCCAGTACATACTAATTTCATCGTGGTGCAAAAATCAGTAATCTATGTATTCACCTGTGGCGTATATGGACTGACTTTGTGAGCAGATAGCATTCACATGTCAGGGCACGCTGGGAACCAAGCGAGTGGCATGTAGAATATCACTGTGTACATTCAATTTAAATAGATGACTAAATATTGGTGTCAAGTTGATGCAATACTTTTTAATGGTTAAAAACAATGGTCGGTTATATGTGAATCCTCTTAGCTGGGTTACGAACACGCATGATACAAAAAACACGCCAAGAAATGGTTGTCTACTTTTGTTTATTCACAATAAAATATGTTGAAATCAGCGGAATACATGATTCTATGTAACTAATATCAAATGGAACATTTGCAAAACGGAAAATTAAATTCAGAAGTCCAAGTCAGTTCACATTAGGCAAAGGAACTCGCGATGTTCCGGACAAAAAGGGTGGTATACAAGATATTATTGTCCAAGAATTAAAATTACAAAATGGGTTGTGATGAAAACAGACCAGTGTATAACTTGGTGTTACGATGTTTCGGATGCTTGATACATCATCTGTGTTCACTTAACGTGTGTGTGAACACTGCAAACAGGCATGGTCGACCATTCACACTCACCTGTGCTTGTATGTTGGTTTATTTCTATCAATCATGTTTCGTTCCTCTAAGTCAATTGTTTCGTCCAGCAACGTTCGCCATCCTCTGGACGACCTCCCCGTTTGATGTCATGAAAACACATGCTTTGATTAAATTTCAGCGAATTAAGATGAATATATATCTGACCCATTTCACTTGTGATAGTTGTGTACAATGTTATACTGTCTTATGTGAGGTGAAATGGGGTTAAAAGCAAGGTTATTTTAGCACTTATTTTGCGACGTGTATGCACGTGTGCTTGTACTAGTCTTGACTAATGCCGATTTTATAGTGCTAGCCCACTGAGATATCATGTTTAACATGAATACCTCACACAGACACAGTATACTGACTCCGGACCGACCAGTCCCTGTTTTAGCCCCTGCCGAACGCCAGGCAGGGTAACAACAAGTACCATCTTTTAACGTCTTTGTGATCATCCGGCAGGGGATCGAACCCCGGACCTTCCGCTCTCCGGGCGGACGCTCTACCACTAGACCACGGAGGCGATCTATTGTCGGATGTATTGTTGTATTGTGACATGTTTTCTTTAAGGAAATGGTTGTCACAGTGACACGGGTATGTTAGGTGGGAGATCTACGAAGATATCCAACATAGAAGAAATTGAAAAGAGTTTTAGCTCTCCTGTCTTAAAGTTAAGTGATCATGTTTTTCCGCTATTCGTCGAAGACATCTCCTATGCAACCACTGGACCAATGAAGCTGAACTTCGCATGGTTATTCCCACCAATGATGACACCCTAGTTTGTACCATATGTTCGAATCAGATTTTCAATAAGGAAGCCGCCTCAGCCATATTGAAAAACCTGTTATGGCCATGACACATTCATTTTGTTCAAATGGAATGACATTTGATACATGTGTAGTTAGTAATGGGGCTCAATACATTCATGTTTCACGATTCCAAAACTATTGACCATTATTTGACCTTTACACGGTGACCATCCTCTTAAATTCTCTCCAGGACATTTCATTGCACCGTGAACGCCAGAAACCACAAGACTAGTGAAACTGAAATTTCCCATGCTTGTCCCACCAATGATGATACCCCAGGTTGTTCAACATATTCTTATCTGATCTGCCACAGCCATACTGAAAACGCTATTTATGCCAGAAAAATCATGTTCGTTCAAAATATAATGAGTGGTATTGTTTCAATACACATGCTCTCTTTCGTACAAAATTATTAATTTTGACTTCCCTTTATAACATGTTCTTAAATCTCTCAAAAGGCGTATTTTGCTCTGTAAACGTCTTCTCCCAGAACACTTGCAAGCATGAGAGTGCTGAAGTGATTTCTGTTTATGATGACATCCTATTTGCTCAGGTCATTACATGTTAGGATTAGTTTATATCTTTCAGTATTTCCGCACACCTATTTTAATATCAATGCTGACAGCAACCTGTTTAGTGTGTGTCTTTGATGACATTGTATACTGTTGATATATCCAGGTGAGCTACAGTGCCGCGGCACTATTTAGAATTCTCCTCAATGTTTTATTTTCTATTTTTGAATGATTTTGTATTCATTTTTTGGCGGATTGGGACATAGGGGGGGGGGGGGGGGGGGGGGGGGGGGGTGTGTTGTGCGTGTTGATGTACACGCACACGTTGGTGACACAAATAACAGAGAATAACGAAACAAATATAACAATCTCCTTTTCCTACGACGAATGGCATTGATCCTATCTCCGCACTGAGTGAGTGAAATTGAATATATACAGTTTGTACCGAGCCTGTGTACTGTTGGTTTATAATTCCCCGATCACATATGGTGACTCATTTAAACTACCGGGCCAAAGAAAGTGATTGTGGCTGAATCTGAAACAAACAACAAATGGTTATTCGATGGTGGTGTTGGTTTGGTTTGTTGTTTTACCGCACTCAGCATTATTCCAGCTATATGACGGCGGTCTGTAAATAATCGAGTTTGGACCAGACAATCCGGTGATTGACATCATGATCATCGATCCACGCAATTGGGATCGATGACTTGCATCAACCAAGTCAGCGAGCCTGACCACCCGATCACGTTAGTCGTCTTTTACGACAAGCACAGTCGCCTTTTACGGCAAGCATGGGTTGCTGAAGACCTCTTCTACCCCGGATCTTCACGGGTCCCTTCGCGGTGGTGTAGTAAATACGGATATCATAGCTGTGTTTTGGACCCGACGTTTTCAGTAGGAGAAGTAGGAGAATTTATGGACGTCAGCTTCTCATAAAGAAGTTGACGTCCAATTCTCTCTTTTATGTTTCCAGTGTTTCGGCGACTGTCTTCAGCCCGACAACGTTGTTGATAACAGTTGTAAACCAAGTTCATAGCGTATGCTCTCTTTTTGTCCGACAGTGTATGTACCACGGGAATGCCTGATCCATTTGTTGGCATCGGTACATGGTGTTAAAATCAATTAAATATTAATTTAACTACACTGTGTAATACCATCACAGTAGACGGCCACAAGCCGCCACGTGTTTTTAAGCATAACAGAGCACAGGTCCGGATAATTTTATTCATGGAAAAGCATATTGGGATGTGTCAAATGTCATCGTTTCATTGTCTGACGGAGAACTTAATACATATTCAAATGAAAGTGTATGTGAATAGTATGTGAAAGTACTTTCACTTAGTGAAACTGATGTGTTTAAACTCGGTATGAGTATATAGCTGCAATAAATTATTACGCGAAGCATATCGATTTAATCTAATTGTAGTTCCCAAGCTCGTCCAGGTTACATGTATATATGATGGACAGATTGTTGGATGGACCAACAGGCTGATGAATCAGGTTCCTACGTGTTGTTTTGGCAACTGTTTTGTTCATGAACGATATGATATTAATAATGAAAGGCTGGATGAAT